AGTTGTTTCAGCTCATGATTTTTGCTGCCTTTCCTTTTCTTGTATGTTTGTGGCACTGGTGCCCAAGGATGCCTGACTCTAACAAAACTACAGGCAATGCTTTTCTGGGTTCTGGTTTATATGGACCAAAGTATGGGAGTGTTTTCTATTACTACCTTCTTCAAAGTATTCAGTGGGTCCACTGCTTTTTCTGTTGCAGCTCCCAGATTTCCCCAATCATCTCTGTTGTAAACCTCCTGAAGACAGTGCCTGAATTTAGACATAATTTTCAGTTGAATTTTACTACTAGAGAATCTGAGATAGTTGAAAAAGTGTATTTTCTTGGTTACCAGAAAGATGTAAGAATAAGAAGTGAAGGATGTGATAATCAGAGTTAAAGCAAAAGCCAGTACTAGAAAAAGATACATGAAATACATCCAGCTGCCACTGGATGGCTCTGCTTGGACACTGCACACACGTGCCAATACAACTAACATAACCAGACCACTGCAATACCTCCTGGGTTTCTGTGATTTTTGTGGGATTTTGATAGATTATCAAAAAATCTCTTATTAGCAGCCTGAGTGTTTTCAACTTCATTGTGTTACACTGATGTATTCTAAAAAAAAAAAAAAAAAGTGAAAAGAAGAAAAAAATCTGTTGCACGGTCCTTTTTTCCAGTTAAAAGCTCTTTCCCTGACAACTTGAAGCCTCAGCAGTAGTGACTAGTTGTCACTAAACCAAGAAGTAATTCAGCAGCATGAGGCGTGATTTATTCTTAACAAAGAATCAATACAAGCATCAGAATTAGAGTGTGTATCATGTGGCACGATTTCATACAGATAGGCAGTATTCCAGCTGCTCTGTACTGCTTCTGGATATAACACAAAAGTTTTATAATATAACTAACTGGCTCCCACCTTGAAATTACACAGCTAATCTTGGCTCATCCCAGAAAGTCCACCTAACCAGAGTGGAAATCTGATCAGAAGAAAGCCAGCAAGAAAGCTATGGATGTCGTAGTGAGCTGGTCCTGCAGAGATGAATAGCCTTCCTTGTCCTCAAGGCACAGACAGGTGAAACAAGCTTCTCTTCTTACAGCTGGGATTTGCTGAAGCTTAAGCCTGTTAAATCTGGAGACCTGCTGAGAAGGGAAGCCAGAGCTCACCCAAAGGAAAAAATCAGAAAAAGGTTCCTGGGGGGAGAAAGCCAAATGGAGGAGGGAACAGAAGGCTACACCCTGCTCTGGCCACATTGATAAATTAATGTCCTCTGCCTAGGACCATGCTGTTGGCTGCAAAAATCTCCCTCTAGACACTATATTTTAAAAATTCTTTTTAAATGAAAGGTGCAACTACTTCCCAAGCAGCAAAAAGCATTTCCTCCCATGTCTACTGGTTAGTCTTATCAGAAATCTAATGATGATGCTTTTCTATCTGGTACATAGGACGTAATTAGCTGCAACTTAATTAAGTGAGCAGATAGGAGTACCCATTTTGGACTTGTGAAGCAAAAATGGCATTATAACACCCTGTGTTCAAAGAAGCTGGGATTCCTGCAGTAGGAAATGATCTGGCACTATGGAGCTGAGATACAGGCTCAAGCACTTTTTATTCTGCAGTTACATCTAAATGCAGTGATCTGGAATGGTTGCTTAATTTGTTTACCACCTGAAGTACGTTTGCTACTCATACTGAGATTTACATTTGAAAGTGTAGGGACTTGCAAAAGAATCATGCGTCCTGGGGAAAAATCCAGGCAAAAAAAAGCACTGCTAAGTTTTCCCTTTGAAACTGCACTTAAAAAAAAAAATGGGCCAGGCTTACCACAATACAAATTCTATGAAAGGAGCAGACCTGGTGTCTTTGTACTCTGGAAAGCTTAACAAATGACCCCAGAAGACTGCTAAGGAAACCTGGAAGGTACAAACGCAAGCGAAGGTGTGTAGCTGTTGATAACCCGTTTAGTCAAGCAGGCTGCTGAGTTGGGCAGGAATAAGGTACATTGCTGAAAGAAGGTGCAGTTTGCACTCTGTCCAGCGCAGTTTCAAGCTGCTCTCTGCTGCTGATTGAAAAGCTATGATGTGTTTCATGGTATTTACTGTGTACACCAGTAATTCAGTACATATATGTCTATGTACCTATACATTGCAGATCTCCTTTTAGCCTCATTGTTATCTGATGCTAGAGAGATGTAAAAAAGCAGGTGACATTTAGATTATTTTTTGTTCCAAGACATTAATTTATAAATTGTTGTACTATTAATTAAAAAAGAAAAAAAAAAAAAAGAAAAAGAAGAAAAAAAATATTTTTTTTTGCCAGACCTTGGCAATGGAAAGAGGCTGATCAGCCCTATACAATACTTTTTTTTTTTTTTTGGTGTTTTATAAGCACTGTGTTTCATACACTCCAGACTAAATAACAGTGCTTATGTGATCATGTGCCCATACTTAGTTGTGCACAGAAAACACATCATGCTCTCTGCTGTCAGTGGTATCACCTGTGCAATAAGGTATTTTATCTGGAATGCACCAGTGCAGCATTATTTATGGTCTTTGTAAAAAAAAAAATAGGTAGAGCAGTTTGACCACTAAAGATAAAAATAAGATTATGAATGAAGACAGGTTGAGAAAGATTTTGGGAGTGTGACAACAGCAATCATCCAGTTCATGTAAAGTATGAGAGCAGAAAAGAGCATGCACTGAAAAGACTCCATCAGCTGGCTGTGCATTCCTAGCAAGGCTAATGCTGGGAACAGACAGTATAACAGCTTCAATACACTATGTCCAACATTGCTGCCCTTTCTCAAAGCAAACTCCTATTGAAGATTTTATCACAGGGTGCAATGATCTTGCTTGTAATTTTCTTAGATAAAAGGCCTTGTTTTTCTTTTTGACTTGCACAGAATTTGAACCTGTAGAATTTTTATTGACTAGAAAGAGCATGTAAGTCAGCAAATAGTTCGCTTGTCACTGAAGTACAAAAAGCGAGTCACAATGCAACAAGAAATCAGGAAGGACATGGTCCTTGCCTCTGCAGATAACTAAAAGATCTAGTAGTCATTTGCATGATGAAACAGCTATTTTATTTTTAAGCACGTAATATCAAATGCTGGGTGCCTAACGTAACCTCGCAAGGTGTGCCAAAGGTGCTGCCCCGCCTTGCTGGGGAGCTCCTGGCAGCAAGCCTCTGGGGACCCAGCACAGCCAGACCTCTCCATGCTGTGGAGGAAAACACAACCACTTTACTACAGCAAGGAGCAGGAATTATTCATCATCATTTTTTTTATGACAAAGTACTGATTGTGTTATCTCTTTCCCATACCCACTTCCCTTCCAAAGACCGAAAGGATTCAAAATATCCCCTTTGTCATACTGCCTAAAGTAATTATACGATAGGTGATAATCTTAAGGTGTTGTCCTAAACCTTTTTAAATTCCAAAATTCCTAGTTAATGGCATTGACCTACCAAACAGGGGTAGAGCTAAAATTGCTTGATAACCTGATGGAGCTTACTGCATCAGGTTTACCTGCTTGAATATATACACAAGAAAATCAATTTATTTTATTTATTTTATGCATTTATTCCTACTTCTAATTTTAAGAAAAAGCTCTGGCATATGGGTCCTCCCAAAGGCTCCCCAGTTACAGTTTCTGGTACAGACATTTCACATACAACTGGCAGGCAGCTGCCTTTGTGCTGCTTGACAGAACAGGCTCAGGCTACGCAGAGATTTATACTTAACCTCTGTGGTGCAGCCATGATGTGGTACAGAAGGAAATCCAGCCCTCTCTCTTATGTTTATAGCCATGTAGCTTTATCACTTATTATTGAACCACACTAACTGAATGGCATCGGTGGATGAGGTTTTCTTCATGAAGACGTGATAAACTGTGTTGTACTATCTTATAGATGAGTCTCTTGACAGCGTTTTCCTGCTCTGCCTACATCAGCCAGTACTGCATCACAGTCAGAGCAGATGTGGACAGCAAAACAGCTGGTGTTGAAACCATGAAACCATGGTATGTGTGTTTTGGGGAAGTTATTTTGGATTACCTCTATTGTGGTCCGATGAGGAAATTTGCCTGTGGGAAGTTTCAAGTATGGTCCTGGTTTGTGTCCTCCTGGCTGAGTTTCATCCATGGGGAATCCTGTTTCACATGCTTCGAGACAGGTCTGTGAGGCAAACCAGAGCACAGCGAGTGCACACACCTGGCAGATATGTTTTGAAAACAGACTCCTGAACCCAAATAAAAAGATGAGTTAGATATACATAGTGCATCTTCTTGGGAGTGCTCTTCCTGGGAGAAGAAGGAAAGAAGGAAAAGTGCAGCTTACCTGAAGCACTTTTCTCCTTTGAGGATGTGGATACAGTACTCTTGATGCATTGGACTTGCTCTTACATCCTTAAAATAGTGCACGTCGTCTGTCCTTTAAGGAATACTCCCATACCAATCTCAAAGCCATAGTGTTTGCCCATGGACCTCAAGCTTGGAGGGTGAACTCCCAGTTGACCAAAGTATTTTAACGTACTGTCCCTGATAAGCCAAGTGCACCCTGAGTCTAACCTTCCTCATGACAAGTTTTGCAGTGAAAACAAAACTCGATAAACAGGCTAAGCTGTGCTGTTTGGGAGGAAGCTGAGATATAACAAGGTCTGCAGACAACAAAGTAGTCCTGCTGTGAAGTGCATTTCTGCTTTGGCACCTCACTCTTCATGTGTATTTGGCATCACCACGATCTTGATAGGTCTAGATGTCTTGCTGTGTCAATTAAAAAGAAAATGGTGGGTAATGGTTGAAATATGGTAAACCATAAATCACCAAAAGAGGAGCACTTTATCTAAGATTGTTTTAGATGTTCAGTTCACTAAGGTGAATGATTTTTTTTATGTTTGTTTTAAATGGTTAATAAAGAGAAGTCTGTCTGCATGGACCGAGTGTGTTGTAACCAGTTATTTTAACAATACACTGTTTCACAATCAAGTTTCATTTAGACATAAAAGAGGAAGCAAGTCTAACGCGTTGTGGTTCAGTCAGTTATAAAACCCCCTCAACTCCTAAGGGACTTTCTTTCTATACTTCTGCACTATAAAGGATTGGAAATAAAGCATATGTCATCTTAGAAGTGTATTTGAAAAGGAAATAAAAACAGAACGCTGCATTTTGGGGTAGGACAGCCACACAGGAAGCTTTAAACAGTTTGTAAGACAACCAGTTTTCTGTACCCGGTCAGCTGCTGTATCTTTGGAGGTAAGAACTGAAATATACTATGCACTATATAAAAGTATGAAAATGTTGCCCTTGCTTACCAAAGCAGCTTAGTTCTGTTTGCGTGGGACTGCAGCTGGTACATGGTGAAATGAAGATGTGCTTTCTCTGACTGTTCGGAATGCCTGCACATGTTTGCAGCCCAGCCACTGTCCACATGCAATTTCTGCTGCCTTAAGAAGAGATAAGAGCATTTCAAAAGTGCTGTCTTCAGAACCACAATTGACTGTGATTATGAATGTAAAAAAATTTTGATTGATTCTCTGATCCTTCTGAAGACTGTCATAAAATCATACTAAAATAATATTCTCCAGAATACTTTTACAGGGAATCTTACCAAGTGTATTGCTTTTATAATAATTATGGTATTTTTTATTGATTTTTGCATGGTAGCATACTGTTCAGATCATCTTAGAAGTGGTGTACTCTATTTTTAGATTAGAAAATAAAATAAAAATAAGAACTGTAATAGAAAAAAAAGGCCATAATGTTAAAAATATTAACAGAGAAAATGTTGAGACTTTTTTCCTTTTAAAAAAAAATAATGATGATGTTAAAAAGTATAAACAAAGAAATGTTGTCATTGTGTTTTCCTGATTCACAGCCAATTTCCTGGTTCGATGCAAATTCACAGCATGACCTGGGTGTACACCCTCCCCTCCTTTTTTATACTCTTTAGCAGATGTGACCAATGTTTGAAGGTTTGTTAGTACAACATTTCTCTCACTCCTCCTGGGAAACCCCTTCAGCTTTTTCTGTCTTTCTTGCTTTACCTTGTATTCTTTTCACTTCTAGAAACTATACACTTCTCTTCTATAACACATGAATTTATTTCCCTTTTATTTCAGCTGCTTAGATACAAAATATTTCAGTGCAAATAGTTCAGTCATAACAACAACAGACAACTAATTAAAATAAACACAGAAATGCAGAAACAGGAAATTATTCCCACCCCGGAGAAAAGCACAGTCTAGAAATATTATGTAGTCAAGTCATCCTAATGAATGCGGAGCTCAATCCCTTCCTCCCTTACATTTCATATTGCTCCTTACAGCTTTGCATATGAGATGTAAAATGCTATCGAATCAGATTAATGGTGTCCTAAAACAAGTTCGAATGGGTACAGATAATTAAGGAAAATATGGAAAGCAATAAATCAGGCTGGCTTTGTACAAAGCTTCAAGGAACTAATAAAACAGAATTAGATGGGAAAGGATTTAAGAGCTCGAGAAGCTCTATTTACCCACATACCATTTTCGTTTCATTTTTATGGAAGTCTGTCCCCCCAAAACTCCACTTAAAGATACAACAGCACTCAAACATACATTAAGAATGTACTTTTCAAAGTGAAGGAAGCCAGGTGCTCTTGGAGTTCATTGCCATCCATTTAGCATGATTGTGTAGACATTTGTCAAGCAAGAACATTTCACATTACAATAAACATATAAAGCACATTGTGTTTTCTGAGAAGGAGATCTCTCTGTTGCTTCGTTGCAGAAGATGATTCCTTCATGCTCCTGAAATACAAGATTTTCATCCTCTTCAACCTTCTCTGTTCCCCACAAAGCAGCCCATATGTCCTTGTAGGAGTGGGACTCCTAGCTTTCTTGCAACTCCTGAAACATGGATAGGCAAATAAAGATGAGCCAGGCTCAAGTTTTCTTTTGAAGGAAGACAAAAAGAGAGATTCAAGGAGGGGAAAAAAGGGGCTTGGCTCAGGACTGCTGCTGCTGCTGCTGGAATAGCCTCATGGAACAGTCCCACAGCTCTCAGGTCTTCCAGAGCAGCAGTAGGGGAAGTGCAGAAGCACAGCTTAGCGGGTCCTCTTCTCTTCTGCCACGGGCAAAGGGAGCCAACTCCCAACTCAAGCAGCAGCCTCCATTACATTTACCTAAGCCAGCACTGGGCATTGGAGATAGCCCTTAAGAAATGGGGTTCACCCACCAAAAACCATGGGTTTCATACATTAAGGAAAGGCTATATACTCATCCATATGCACAGCTCGTTTCACTTCTTCTTCACTGTCCTGATTTCCCCATACTGGCTGCACTGAGGCTTCTCAGGAGCTGTTTCATGCCAGCCCCGGTGGAAGGTGAGATGTGGATCCTGCACCATATGTGGGCTTGCTGCTCCAATCTACCCTGCCTGCCAGGGGAACTCTAGCATGCATGCCCTGCAATTAGAGGGAGATCTCAAACCTCAGTGAAGGGGTCTGTTTCTCCACAGACTATAGAAGTGCCTGATAATACTAGGAGAAAACATACGAAAGATGGATCCACAAGGTTTGGGTTCCCTTGAGATGGGAAGACTTTAATTGCAGTCCTATCTAGTAGATCATAGGCTGTATCTATAGCTCAAGCTTTAAGCTATAGGTATAGCATTAAGTTATATTAAGTTATAGCACTGGATATAGCTATAGGTATAGCTTAATGCTATACCTATAGCTATATCCAGTGCTATAACTTGAACTGAAACTACCAAGAGCACAGCTTCAGTGCCATTCAGAGCCTCACTCAGAGAACTGAAAGCCAGATATATTCCATTTTGAAACAGGCCTGTCTATTCTATGTGCTTTCCATCCCCTCCTTTTGCAATGCAAAATAATGTCCCTTTCCCCACAGAGCAGTGATTCCAGCTGGCACCATGTTCTTTCCATTCTCCCTAGCAACTTTTGATCTTGCTCAGGTTTTCATATGGGGCACAATTTATCATATAACTTTGTGTATCCTTCTCATGCGTTCCTTAAACTTTTTGCTTATCCTAAGCCAAGAACTCCCATTCTATTTGCTTGCTCCCAGACTATAATATGAGATCTTTATGCAAACATTGGCACCATCTCCAAGCATTATATTCCAGCAAATTTGCTGCCACTCAGAAAATAGTAGCAATACCACTGGATTCTCCACATGGCTTTAAACATTCATCCTGCCTTTAGGCTTTTCTTCTGAAAAACTGAACAAAAACCCTAGGGAAGACCTACAAGCTTTTAAGAACTTCTGAGAGTAATAAAGACTACGTAAGATAGAAAAGAATGTAAAGCAGACAGCCTGCTCCCTCTGTCTACACTGTGATCTGTGCTTAGATAGGATGTAGCCAGCTCCCTTCACCAAGACAGTAGCTGTATGAGGAAATATCGGTTTGTTCACCTCATGTGCAAAATGCATCAGAACAACATTGTAGACCGGACTATTTTTCCTTGTACAACAAAAATAATGCATTATGTTCAGGAAGAGGAAAGTGAAAGGTGAATGTAAGGAGTGTGAAACCCCAGATATTGAAAGGCATTAGATGTAATCCCCATGCATTCGCAATCTTGGTGTATAGGTGTGTATGTGGCACAGGAGGGGGATTAAGAGGAGGGACAAAAGAAAGAATTAATGGAAACCGTCATCCTTGTCCGATGTAAAACACAAGAATTAAGGGTGACCCAACTGTGTGGCCAGCCATCAGTCGTGATGTAATAACAATGTGACATGGGTATATGATAAGTATTAGGACCAGAGATATATATATAGCTTACTTCTGCATTCTGGCTCTCGACAGCACCCATCAGAGCTTCAATCAGATTTCCTTGCAGAGCTGTGAATATCATCAGATTAGTGCCACAGCTCTTGCAACCATCAGAGGGTAAACTTGTAACTCATTCAACAAAACATGTAATTCGTAAGCATGATGGGAGCCTAATCTTTTTGAATTTGCCTGTTCTTTTGTTTCCAATTCAGTCTCAGACCCTGTGCTCTAAAACTCTGAAAATGGGTACTGCAGAATGCAGCATGAAGAAATGAAACCAGCAGTTTCATTTCCCTAATGTATCACCTTATGACAGAAACAAGATGCATCTGGGTAGTAGGAAAGACAGAAATGTCACATGCTACCTGAGCACACATGGCTTTGCGCATGTTGGTTAAGAAGTGAATAGGTCAGATGTTATATTTTCACTTGTTTCTCAGAATCAACATTAAAAGTAAATGTAGGAATAAGTGTATAACAGTTCCTGCTACCTTAAGCTGGTGGCAACTTGACACAGAAGCCCTCTGGCTCAGGGAAAGAGGGGAAGGGAACAGCCTTTGCACTGCACAAGGAGGGGAAAGAAGGGAAATGGGAAGAGAAGGGCAGGTTTACAACAAGAGCACCTCAAGCATTTGGGTGAGATTTCTGTGGTGGTACCTTACTTACATCTAAAACCTAACACAAGACAACAGCAACTTACTGCAAAGATTGACAAGCTCCATATATATTTGCCTCTCATGTAAATGGATTAAAATGGACTATATTTCACTAAATGTTACCTGCCTGTGGGAAATCTCACACAACTTGAAGCAGCAGATGGGATTCAGACTCACCAAAGCAAGTGTTTGGACATATTTAATTTTCATGAACATTTCCTTCTGAAGGAAGATTATTTTTTCCTCCAGCAGCCATCTTCATAGTGTGGAAGTGATTTATTTTCCCCCTGAGGAAAGTCTTTTCTCACACTATCTTCTTGCCAACATATGCCTCAAGTCCATATCCACAGTTAGACAGGATTTAGCCAACATTTAATACTACTGCAGCATTTTGCACAAGCAACTGCAACGCAAGAGATACCTGACTCAGAAATGAAAGTCTTTTCACTCTTGTAAAATATTAGTTCAACAGTCGTCAGCAGCAATGATGTAGTACTGCATGTGCTGCAGAGATCCCACCTCACCACTATTCACATTTTGTGGAAATATGTTCCAGTGCTCCTTTACAGCAGGTGCTTTGACAACTAATTGGGATATATGCTTAAACCTACACAGACAATATCTGTAAGGATTAAAATGATGTAATCAGATTAAATAGTAAATGAAAGAAGTACCCACTGTTTAAACAAAGACAATTTATTTGCTCCTCTATCACACAAGATATTTTGTCCTAAACAAAGAAAAATACATCTGTTTAAGATTTACTTTCTCACTGCTGGACCACACAATTTCTTTAGAACATCTTTCCCGTGAATCACCTCCTTGACATCTATTTAAATGAAAGGCACAAAGGTGGAGTTATGGACAATTATATGGCAGTGGAACTGCTAAAGTGTGGACAGAACGTTTGCTGAGGAGCAGACACATTTCTGTCATTGCTAGTGAGCCCTGTCTTTTACTGCTAACACGGCTACACAGCTTTTGAGGATGAGCCACCAGCTCAGTGACTGGATAGGGTTATTGACTTCTGGAACCTGATTTTGCCTTTGTAGAAATGCGATGAAAACTGTTTCCAGAGCTGGTGATACTCATGGCTTTCCGTGAGTATCACAACAGTGAAGGAACTGGAATACTTCTGTAATGCACATCTGCCTATGTATTGCACTGAAATGTGTCTTTTCAAAAGCACGCTGCATCTAGGACGGTCAGTTTAAGAAGATCCTTTTACAGTAGTTGGAGAGTGATCAGCACATGTAGGGCACAATTCATCTAATTTCAATTCGGGTATCTAAAACAAGTCTAATGAATCATGTCTCCAAAAAACCTTGCTTTTGTCATTGACATTTTAATGTCTAAAAACTAGAGCCAGTTCTATCCAGCTTAGCATATGGAAGTGATAAGTGCTAATTTAATGATCTGAGACTTAGTGAAAAAGGATTCACACCTACAGTCATTGATCAGTCTGGATACTAAAGGGTTATACTCTCGATATGAATCTCAAATCAACATAGTTCAGAGGTAGATGTCAAACCACACACAATAAAAGTTGCTTCAGAGAGGGAAAGAGGGGGGAAACCCTTGGCTTTTTAGCTGAAATAAAGGGCAAAAATACAAATATTTAAATGCAAGCTATTATAGCACTTATTACCAAAGCAAACCACTTCTTGTTCCTCTCTTCCCAATTCACTTGTCTTTGGATGTATCATATATACCATATGCTGTGTTACACAGAATATACTGTGATGCAATTGAGTTAACAGCACAACAGGGAGATGATCTGATCACTTCACTCATTGACTCAAGTCCCCCAGAAAGACAGAGACAAGCGTTAATGTCCAAATCAGAAATATATCTCAGCAGCTTGTAATAGAGGTGTGAGTATAATCATCACTCACTGACTTGGTAATGAACTAATGGTTTCTTCTTGTCATTCTTCTGTCTGCTGGTGGTTCCTTTCCTTTCTCGAAGGATGCTGTCGGAAGGTTACCTTCACAGAATTGCCTACCTTTGTGAAGACCTGAGCTCTGAGCTCTGCACCAACGTGGCAGCCGAGGAAGTGGTGTATGAAATGAGGTCCATTAATTATTCTTCCATTGAAGAAGCACAAGGAAAAAGCTTCCTTCAGAGATGCAGATCTGCTGGCAAATGTTTTTCCTCAGTCCACTCTAAAGGCAGCAAACACAGCAGAAGGCAGAAGGATAATCTTCTACAGCCCACACAGCACCCAGCACCTGAAGGGCAGACATCTCCAGCTACAGACGTCTGCGAGGGGCTGGCAAGAAAAGACACCTACCTGGTTCCATCCTCCTGCAAAAGCATCTGCAAGAACTACAATGACTTGCATATAGCTGGGGATTACGTGGTGCCTATTAGCTCAGTGGCGTCAGATTTTACCTGTGACAGTGGCATCGGCCCTTTCCTGGAGTCCTCAGAGATTCCTCCGCCCATGGAGTCCATGAGGGTCCCCCCCAGTGAGACCATCCGCAGGCCAGTCCAAGGCTTCTCATCGTGCTGGCGGCTGGCGAGCTTAATGCCACACCAGCAGCCTCTCTCTGACTCGGCCCTCAACGACTACCTGGAGCAGAAGCTGGTGGAGCTGTACAAGCAGTACATCATGGATAGCACAGCAAACAGGGCATCTCCCACTCAGATCCTGGCCTCGGAGCTCATCATGACTAACGTAGACCAAATCAGCATGCAGATATCACGAGAGAGGAATATGGAGACCACCAAGGCCAAAGACATTGTCATCAGCCGCTTCCTACAAATAGCCAGTGAACAAATATCCTCTGAAATTAGCACACCCAGTCTGCATATTTCCCAGTACAGCAACACTAATGTGTAGTATTTGAATTTCTACAGTTAGACAGTTTTTAGGTTCTGCAAACTCAATTTTTATTTTTTATTATTTTTTATTTTTATCTCTTCAGACATCTTTTTGCTTCGTTAAAATTTATTTACTGTCTACCAGTTACATTTTCCAGTACATATTAAGTAAAAATATCTGTACTGCACAGATGTCCCCCTATTGTGCGCCAGATGAATTACTTTTTTTTTTTTTTTGTTTTTTCCCAAAGGCTTATTTCAGTGAGTGAGTCATGGACATTAAAAAAAAAAAAAAAAGTAGAAAAATGACTACGAGCATATGACACTCTTCCAGATACTCTCTTTCTTCCCCCTTGACATCTAATTTCAACTTTCCTCCCCTGGAATCTGCCATCCTACCTGAGGGTCTTTGTGAAGCTAAGGCTCACACCTCTGCAAGTACAGGGACCGCAGAGCCACAGAAACAGAGAATTCAGGATGCCATCTGGTTCGTCTCCTTGACCCAAACTGCTTTACTTATAACACCTCTGTCAGATATTTTTTATAATCTGTTCTTAAAGATACCAAATAATAGACACTTTACAGCTTCTTCTATACTAGGTCTAATTAATCCATTGGTGTCTTCCAATTCAAATTTACCATCCCTTTTTGTAAAGCAAAAACTCTGTTTCCAGACAGACTTTGTCAGAAGGAGTGTGTGTGTATAGCTGTATATTTTGTGACGAGCTGAACTTCTACGACAGACGTCGGTGACTTGAGATGCCAGACAGACACCCACCATGTTTGTCAGCGACTTAAAGACTGGCGTGGTCATGTAGGGATAGTGGTGATAATAAGGGGAATGCTTCTTTCTCTTCCCCCTATTTTTAAGAGAATTTCAAATTGAAAAATAAGGGCTAAGCCAAAGCCCTAGTAATTAACGTGACCAATTCCTTTGACCACTGAAGGAAAGCAGAAACAGACCACTCAGCAGCATGACCAACCCCTCCTTTTGTTACGAGCGTTGCTGTATGTCATAGGCCATGGTTATTTGAACTTGACATATATCTAATAGAAAGGTCTTCTGTAAAATCTCACAAGTCTTAAAAAAGAAGAAAAAAATAATTAGCTGCCTCAAGGGCAAGGATGGTTACCTGCTTTGAGTCGGTATGATATATAACACATTTTCTATGACAATCCATCATTGGTTGAGTTTCTAAGTTTAAGTATAATGTAAATACTAATTTATAATAAATATTCATCAAATGTTTTCATGCCAGTGACTCATGCCAGTGATTCAACACTGTTGTTTTGGCCTTTGTGTTCCTCTTTTGTTTTGTTTTACAAATGTAAGGCATGCATTTATGTGTATTTCAAAAACAAATGCGATGTAGTAAACATGTCAGTTTATTTTATTGCTGCTCTCTTCCCAGAGACTACTGGATAGCTCAGTATATTTTCCTGCTTGTGCAATGAAGGGGTATCCAAAAAACAGTTGCTATATGAACCTTTCCTGTGTGAAGTCAGAGATGGTAATTCTGTTGCCATAGCAGCCTACCCCAATACTATTATTCAACAACTCAAGATTGATAATTTCTGGCTTATAATGTTTCTAGACTTTTATCAAATTCAATTTACAAACAGAAAAAATACTATTCTAAAGAGACAGTAACATTCAAGATAACGTACAGTCATGTGTTACACATGCAAAATCCATTATTAATAGATCTCTCAATTTTTTTAATTTCTCCCAGAATAAAAAGATACACAAGCATCTATGAAAATGGCTTGCAGAAGACAGCAAAGCAATCAAACAGTCATTTTTACGTCCTGCAAATGCATGATCATTTTTTTTCAAAATGCGTTTTTTGTTTATTCCTGTTGACATTCACATGACTGTAGCCATTTAGTAGCACAAAACAAAAAGAGAAGAACTTCCAGAGTCAAATACATATATATCAATTCCCTTGCTGAAAGATCTGGCACCTTCATCAGAGAGCATAGTCCATTTTTGCACTCAACTTTACCCACTACATAGAGCATGCACTGTGTGAACAAAAGAGCTTTTTATCATCTGTGACCTGGAAGTCCAGATTTTGGTTCTCCTCCTAACTGGCAGATCTGTGACTAAGAGCTATAGGAAACATCCGCTGGCCGCAGCCTCCATTCTGAGAAGAGATTTAGTAAATAGTAACAGCACCTGGGGAACAGGGACTAAGAGGCTTGCCCACAGACTGATGTGGAAATGTGGTTTTGCTTACAGTGTTGACCCCTTAGCTGCTGTGTCAGAGTGCTGCAATGAGAATTTGGGGCTGGGCTTTCAGAGGAAAGAGCTATTACAGCAACTCACTGTGCAGCTGTGCAAAAAAGACAGATCTTTAGTATAAGACAGCACGGCTGCTGCAATCAGAGGGCATGCTGGATGCTTAGATTGGATTATTCAGTCAATGACAAATCACTCCATTTGTACGGAGCTTCCTCCCAGGCAAATCACTTAGTATAATCACACCTATTCTCACATAAAGGTCTAACTTTGTATTATTGGACTGACATTTATGAATTTTATTCATATAAGGGTCATAATCCTTGCAGAAGCTGATTTATGCTGGAAAGAGAGCTTTCAACCACTTCCTCCCAAAATATGGCTATTTTCTTTCCCCTGCCTAAATATAATTCCTTGGTTCACTTTGAGCCCTACTGTGCGTCTGTTTCTCATATGAATTACATACCATCCCAGTCCCTGAAGCAATACTGAGTAACTCTTGGATGTGACTTTTGCATAAACAAACAAATATTTCTTACTTTCCACTATGCTCAACTGAAAGTTCATTTAAATTTCTGTCCTTCCTCCATTTAAAACTAATCTTCTTCTGCACGAGTGCCTCTCTAGGTGTGTCTGTTTCCTGCTAAAAGCACTTGGATAGCAATTAGGCTGCTATTAGCATGAGTCAGGTTGTTATCTAAAACGATTACCATCACTCTCCTTCTCCCTCCCTCCCTCTCTCCCTCCTTCTCTCTCTCCCTCCCCTCCTCATCTGTCTCAGGGTCAAATGCTTAAAGAGAGAGATCCCATTTGTTTAGTATCTTTGTTAAATAATCATTTTTAAGGCAGAGGCTCATCGCTTCTGGACACTGGTGGAGTTCTGGTGGCTAGTGAATGTAGTTTGAAAGGAAAGCCTGAAGTTTGGTCTCATGACTATTTCCCAGCAACAGGATGATCTGAATAGGACTAAGATCACTTGAGAAGAAAATAATAATAATTAAAAAAGGAGTAAACATTAAAAAAATAGGTTGGTTCCTATTTTGACCAACTGTCAAGAAACTGATCATGGAAGAACCACCATTAGCATATTCCAGTAGCTTCCTATGACATTTTTTCACAGAACATGTTGCTGTTAACATGATTATTAGCATCTAGGAGTTTTATTGTTTATACATAGTGCAACTGTGCCCCTAAGAGTCCAAGGCTGTCACCGCAGGGCCATTGAATGCTCCTGGGAGCTCCCAGGAAGGCTGGATGTACAATGTGAGAGGGGAGGGGAAAAGAGAGGAAGGGGGTTGCTGCAACAAGGGCAACCTCTTGCTCCTGTCTTTGGGTTTAAACCCTGTGCCGGCTCTGTGTTTTTTTTTTTTTTTTTTTTTTTTTTTTTTTTTTTTTTTTTTTTTGTGCCAAGATGTGGCTGTGGAGGGACGGAAAAGGGATATAAAGCATGGGCTGAGCTCTGTGCTGAATGTGAAAGCGAGGATTTCACGCTCCGGTTGCTGTGTTCAGATGAAGACAAAAAGCTAATCACCTAAAACTGAAATAAATGAAGTTCTGCAGCAGCCAGGCATAGTGCTGGGGCTTCAGTGCCAAGGCAGCTGCTGTGGGGCAGGACCTGGGTGAGAGGGGGGCACCCTGAGGTCTGGCTTATTCCTGCTGCTACTGGCCTTCCACAGCTGAACTAGGGGCAGCTATTAAGAACCATCCCTTCCCCAAGCCTCTTTCTACTATGGCTTTATGTCAGAAACAGGACCTTCACCAGCTGTAAGGTCTGCCATGGGGAGGAGGGGACAAAGGGACTACATGATTTTTTTTTACCATACTTATCAGAGTTGCTGTAAAATATTGTTGTTACTAGCACTGGGCTTCGGTAGTATACCATGTCCTCATAGATTCAGAAGGGACAGTCACTGACTTAGAGAGGTCACCAGGCTGAAATAGTACTGAAATGATTACAGACTTTAAACCAATAACAGATATGTAAGCCTGTTGTGCTTTTGCTAATTGACAGCGCTAGTAGTAAACCTCATTAAATGCAGCCCACTGGACTCAGAAAGGAAGCTGTATGCCCATGACAGCTGCTGAGCAGCCACTTGGCATCCCTGTACACCCAGGAGCATGGCATCTCCCACAGAGCAGTACAGCAGCTGTGGAGGGTGCTTGGGAGATACAGGAGCAGCTTCAGCTGTGTTAATTACACACAGTGCAGGCACTGCGGGCAGCTTCTCCGCCAGCATGAGCCGGTGGGGCTGGCCTCTGCTTGGCAAATAACACTGATTGAGGGCTGCATTATTTGGTTAAAAACATCACTGTCTTAGAAATGAATACATAAAAATAACTAGCACATAAAGAAACAGACCTTTAGGTCAAAATGGAATTATTCACATGCTTCTGCTGTATCAGGAAAAGCTGGCTCACCATCTCCCTGGCATTAATACTGACAGGATTAGGGTGACTTTTCAGAATATTAAGCAGGCTTTCCAATGGCTGAAGGGAGCAGTGTTCCTTTGGCTCTTCTAAATGTTGTGTGAACTACTCTGTCTGAAGTGGAAATGCCCTCAAGGAAAATTAGCAGTGCCTCATTTTGAGTTAGCATCTGATTACTGTTGAACTCCAGGCTGCCTTTCCCTCCAGCACTGCTTTCCCACTTTATCTCTTGAAAAGGCTGGTCACTGCACACTCCTACACTGTGCTGCCATGCCAGAGCTCTGAGGAAGGCCCTGAGACCTCTCTCCCTCCTCTGGCCGTGCTGCCTTGTTGCTTGTGGCCAGCCTGCTCTGGCTCTCCAGCCTCTCTCTTCCCTTCAGCCTCCCTCCCGGCAGTAGGAGAAGGACTAGCTGGGTGGCATGTCAGGACACTAAATGTCCACCCCCCTCATCCACCCCCAGGTGTGCAGGCAAGGACCCTTGGAGCTCTGTGCCCTCTCTGCAAGTGGTGCAAGGTCTTGGCTTAGGCCTTGGGGTCTGCAGCAGCCCCAGGCTGCCCAGTCCTGGCCCAGCGCTCATGGAGCAGAGACTGGGCCAGAAGGATTTTTGAAAAACCAAGCAGTGGGAAGGGAGGAGTTGAGAGTCACACCACGAGGCTCTGTGACAGCTTTTTTCCTTTTGTTTTTTTTTTTTTAATTTTTATTTTTTATTTATTTTTGTATGTGTGTGTGTATGTAATGGGAGACGAAGCTATGAGAATAAAATCACAGAAGGCAGAGCTGATTTAGGTAATTCTCATTGATGCAGTTCTCTGTATTTCATCTTTACATGCAAATTCCCTCTTTTTTATAACTGTATCATGTTTGGAGCGTAGGGGTAGAGCAGAGCAAAAAAACACAAACAAAAGGAAAACAAGTAAAACAACAAAAAAAGAAACCAAACAGTAATCATTTAAACAGTACCATTTTAGCTCTGGTAGAGAATTCCAATTCATTTCTAAATGAAAACCTTGCAACAAAAGAAAAAAAACGAACAACACACATATTAAGGATGTTAGAGGCAGGCAGAGCATGCCCCATCCCTGAAGTTTTTCAAGATCAGGTTGAATGACACCCTGGGAAACCTGGTCTAGTGGAAGATGCCCCTGCTCATGGCAGGGGGGTTGAAACCAAGTGATCTTGAAGGTTCCTTCCAAACCAAACCGTTCTATAGTATGATATGATAGCAAAAATTGGATTGACAGTTTTAAGAAAGAGGTTAGGAGCTGTCAAGGCCAGCAGTTTAAACCCATTAATCTCAAGGTGTTGAAGTGTTTAGCAAAAGCTGGCTGACATATTACTTCAGAAACACAATGCTTGACTAAAGAGGTACAGGTGAGAAATAAAAAACAAGCAAACAAAAAAACCCTACAGAACAGTCTGTTTTTGCATTAGTTAGGTCATAATAAAAATGTACAGCAGTGTTCCTTTTGGTTCCTTTTTTTGATCCAGGTGAAATTCCAGGCTTCTGCTTCCAGTGCCTCTTTTCAGATGACACTTATCCATCTTTTAGACATTCCAGCATCTTCCAAACTCAAGAAGAAACT